GGGGAACAACCAACCCCGCATTCGCCCCTGAAGTGGCAAAGTGGGGCCAGCTCCCCGCAAACATCCTGCGGAGAAAGAGGCTGCCTCACTCCAACTGGAGCCGCCGGCGCGAGGCCCCCGACCGCTCACCGCGCAGAGGCTGGTTCTGAGGGGCGCTGTTGCTCAGCGCTCACCCAGACAGCACATGGTGCGGCCTCCTCGCTCCCGTGAAACATCAGACTTTCGATGCAAAGACGTTCTGACCGCGCTGCCTGGATGTACTGGCTTCACAACGTGCCCGGAATCGGACAGCGGGCTCTTGCAGGCGCGTTTCCCGGAGGTGCCGCCCCGGGAGGCAGGCAGGGTCACACGCGGAGGGTGACGCTGCTGGTCGCTCTGGTCGCAGAGGCGTCACCCGGAGTGTGGCGCAGGCGCCGACCCTGCCGTGGGCAGAACCTGGTCCTCCTCCGGTGGCGATGACTATTCACTATCTCGCGTGAGTGCAGAATGAGGTGGTTTCGAGTGCAGCCTTTTCCAGAACTGCTCTGTGCAGCGCCGCAAACGGCCCTGTGGGAGGCTTGTCTTTCCTGGTGTGAACCCCCACCCGAGGCCTTGTTTCCACCGGTTTTTAGAGAGCGTGGGAGGGAGGGAGGGAGGGAGAAACACCGATGTGAGAGACACATCGATAGGTTCCTCCTGCAGGACCCAACCAGGGGCAGCGATCGAACCTGCAACCCAGGTACGTGCCCTTGACCAGGAATCGCACCTGCGACCCTTCGGCCGACGCTCCAACCACTGAGCCAAGGCGAGGAGGCTTGTCTTGTCTGGGTGGCTGACGGCATCCGTAGCTCGGCCTAAACGTTGATGATTTCCTTCAGTCTTCACACAATCACCCGGAGACTTACGGACCAGAACAGCTCCCGTTGTGCAGATAAGTGAGTCTGTGCAGATTTGGCGAGAGGACGGGTCTCTGGGGGGCGTGATGCTGAGTGACACCGAGCAGAGAGGACAAGCGTGCAGGACTCGCGCACACGCGGACCCGGAACACACGGAGGATTGGAGCTCCTGGAGCTGGGGGGCAGGGTGGGGGTCCAGCCAGTCCGGGTGGGGTGGGGAGCGGTTGGTAAAAGGCACAAACCCTCAGCTGTAGGAGGAAGACGGTCCGGGATCCAGTGTCCAGCGGCGACCAGGGGGCGACCCTGTGCCGTGCGATGGAGCTCGGTGAAGAGGACGCACCTGTTCTCGCCAGAAGCCGAGGACGCGAGGTGGTGGGCGTGCTCACCGGCTGGAGGCGGGAGCCCTTGTCAGAGGGACGCGCATCAGATCGTGACGGTGCTGCGCTGACCATCCCACCGTTTCTGTCTATCGTGCGGCAATAAAGCTGGAAAAATAAACTTTAAAAGTATCTGTGACTTGAAAAGAGAGAGACCACTGCCGAGTGCTGTCCCTGCGGTGGAGCCGGACGCTGGTGGATGTGAGTCGGGCGAAGATAAAAACATTTCAAGAGAATAAGGGACAGAGAGCCGCTGAGTCCTCACATCCCAGGTGTCCCTGCCGCCGTGGCTGGACCTGTAGCAGATCCTAGGACGCACCCCGGCACCCACGCACCTGCCGGGAGGGCCGGGGGGGGGGGGCTTCCTGCTGAAGGTCGGCTTCAGTGCCGTCTCCACGTTCTGCTTTGTTTGTGACCTTTGCCCAGAAGGACCACGACAGGGAGTCTTCCCGAGGGGTCCCCGGGTCGTGGCTAAGGATGCGACCCTGTGAGGCCCGAGGTCCGAGGCAGACCACTGGGGCGGTTGTGGTCCGTCCTCCGGCAGCTCAGGGGGAGGGAGAAGAGCTTCTGAGGTCTCTCCGCACGGCCGACCTGGCTGCAAACCTAAGTCCTTTAAAACGCAGTCCTATTGGCTCGGGAGGCTCGTGAAGTGATTTAAGAAAGTGATAAACCACAGATCTAGGCTTGAGGATGGGCGGCCTGAATCCCTTCCAGTTCAGGACAAAGTGGTCATCAGTGCGCACCCCTGCCGCCACCTGTCCCCAGAGGGGAGCATGAAGACAGAGCAGGGGGTTCGCTATCATCCCAAAGGGAAAAAGTGCTTTATTTTATTGCAAATGAAAATAGAATCATGCTTTTAAGATGTGTGTGCGCCTCTCTCTCCCTCCCTCCCTTCCACTCTATCTAAAACTCAATGGGAAAATATCCTCAGGTGAGGATTCACAAAAAAAAGAAAAGAAAAAACAAAACAAATCAGAACATCTCATTTGGACTCACCATTAAAATAAGATGAAAAGACCAAAACTGTCTCTGGAGCCCTCACAGAAAGACTGAACACAAAAATTCCAAGGAAAAGACAAAAACAATGTAGACACAGACAAGAAAAAGGAATCAGAAAAGACATGGCAAACCATATCTCTGAAAGTTCGCTTACGTGTTCCATTAAAAACTGTATTTGGTAAAAAACTCTCTGAGCGGATGGCATCTGAGCCAGCGACAGGGCTCTCGGGGGCGGTGAGGGTCCTGGTCCCCTTACGAAGGCAGAGGCTCAGGGAACCAGTGGACAGTGGACATGGACCGTGCTGAGGAACGCGAGGGGAGGTGTCCACGTCGTGTGGACAGTGCTGAGGACTGTGGGGGAGGTGTCCACGTCGTGTGGGACAGTGCTGAGGACTGCGGGGGGAGGTGTCCACATCGCTTGGACAGTGCTGAGGACTGTGAGGAGGAGGTGTCCACGTCGCGTGGACAGTGCTGAGGACTGCGGGGAGGGAGGTGTCCACGTCACGTGGGCAGTGCTGAGGACTGCGGGGAGGGGTGTCCACGTTGCGTGGCCATGGGTCTGTGGCTCCATCACGGATTTGTTATGAGACCGTGGTTTCCCTACTTGTGCCTTCGTTTCCCTCATATCAAACAAGAGACTGTGCCGTGGCCTGAGTGGCTCAGTGGGTTGGGCAGCATCCAGAGCACCGGGAGGTCGCAGGTTGGCTTCCTGTCAAGGGCACACGTCCGGTTGTGGGTTTGATCCCTAGTGGGGGGCGTGCAGGACGCAAGCGACCATGTTGTTCTCTCCCTTCGATGTCTCAGTCTCTCTCCGTTTCCCTTCCGCTCTCTCAAAATCAGTAAACTGTTCAGTGAGAAGTAACCAGGCTCTTTGTGTGGATATTAACGCACCACCTCCACGGAAGCTTCCGTCCAGAGGAACCGTGGGATGGGCCCTGGAGCCACCCCAGGCATTCGCCTCCAGGCTTCCTAAGTGCACACAGTCCTGGGCCTGCCGCGGCCGGGTGCCGCCCGGTTCTACAGCGAGTCCGTGCCCGGTCCTTCCCGCTGTGGCCGGGTCCATGTCCTGTGCTTCCTGCCGCGGCCGGGTCCCGCCCGGTTCTACAGCGAGTCCGTGCCCGGTCCTTCCTGCCGCGGCCGGGTCCCGCCCGGTTCTACAGCGAGTCCGTGCCCGGTCCTTCCTGCCACAGCCGGGTCCCGCCCGGTTCTACAGCGAGTCCGTGCCCGGTCCTTCCCGCTGCGGCCGGGTCCGTGTCCTGTGCTTCCTGCTGCGGCCGGGTCCTCGCCCGGTCCTTCCCGCCACCGCTCCGACGCCGTCCCCGCACGCCCTCCAAAGCCGTGCTGCCCAGAGGCCCGGACCGCAGCCCAGCAGCACCCGCGAGGCCGTGAAGAAGGCTCGGGTCCCTGCCCGCACCGCGTCAGAGCTCGGGCGGCCAGGAACAAGCGCGTCACCAGCCCTGGGGTGTCAGGAGCTCCGGGTGGAGAAACCGCTGAAGGCGAGATGCTCTCTTGCTGCAAAGAAGGACAAGCGGCCCTTCCCTCAGAGACGAGCGTCCGAGTCCCGTGTCTCCCAGCCCAAGGCGCTGGCACCTCACAGAACACACCGGAGTTCTCCGCGGGCACCAGTTTAATAAAGATTTTAGAATGTGACCTATTCCCAGTACATGGTAAAACGCTGACGTGTATTTAAGTTGAAAATTCGGGTCAGGGGGAAAACGGGGTCATTTAAAATAGTTTGATATCACAAAGGTAACAACAGACAATGTCTTGTCTGTCGTAACGTCACAGATTTCTCCCTGTAACCAGCCGAGGGAAACAGGCCCTGTGCCATCTACGGTCCCGAGCGTGTGCCGTCTGGACACCCAGAGCCCCGTGACCAAGGCACGGACACCACGGGTGACAGGAACCCCCGCACGAGGCGTCCACGGCGGAGCACCGGGCCGACTGCGCCAGTAGCCCCGCGACGTGCCCTGTGTTACCAAAGGGCTGAAACCCCGACGCAGAGGAGGACTTGACGGAAAGCCAAGCACCCCCCCCCACATGAACCCGTGTCGGTGCCGAGAGGAAAGGCTGGGCCAAGCGACACCTCCTCCCTTTCCACCAGACAACATGTAGGAATGAGGGTTGTTATATGGTGCGTTTGGGTTATTCTTTTAAATGTTTCCTTAACTTCCTTTGCGAACAGGCACTTCCTGTCCAGGGTGGCGGTTACCGTGCCCCCCACCCCCCGCGTGGTTTTCGCTGCGCCTGGGCCCTCGGGGGTTCCAGGGGCCCACGTTCCAGTGACGGGACCGCAGCCGTGACAGTCCCGACTCCCAGCAGCTTCTCCCCTGGCAGGTTCATCCTTCAAGATTTTTAAAACCAAAGGAGAGAAAATACTTTCATAGAGCAACACGGAACTTGCATGAATAATTCATATTTCACAGACGTCCCTGTCACTTTGAAAAGAGGCACTTTATCTTCTTTATAATGCATAAAAGAAGTGATGACAGTCTGTGCACCTGTCAAATGTGTGTTAACAGGGAGATAAGAAAGAAATGAAAGAAAGAAAGAAAGAAAGAAAGAAAGAAAGAAAGAAAGAAAGAAAGAAAGAAAGAAAGAAAGAAAGACCATAACATGGGTTAATAAAATAACTGAACTATTTATAGGAAATTTTTCTACCCAACCGCTGGCTAAAAGCATCACATCCATCCCACGACGCTGCTCTGACCGAGACCCACCTACAGCGGAGAACAGGCTGAGGTCGTACCTGAGACTGAGCGTTGATATCGGCTCCTTCTTTGACGAGCACTTTGACGACCTCTGCCTGGCCCGCCAGGGACGCGATGTGGAGGGCCGTGTTCCCCTTCTGCTTGCAAGAAACAAAACAGAAGATGCTCAGTTTTCAAGTTTTGTAGGAATCAAAACATACAGGCATTTTCAAGTTTGCTGATTATTTCAAGTGCTTAGGGCCTGTCATGCTATCAGGATAGAAGCCGACCTTGGGAGACACTGTGGGCAGGTCAATGTCTTGAGGGTAAAGGTGACCTGCCCACAGTGTCTCTCTTTTCTGTCTGTGGTGCCCGTGTCCCGTGGAGAACGTGGACAGACCCAGTTCTGACTGGTCACTCACATTCTTTTGCGAGGGCTCAGCTGCCTCCTCTTTACATGAGATCTTTTTCTGGATCTAAAATTCTACAATTATAATCTAGGATGAAAAAGGAACCTGCATTTTATTTTATTTATTTATTTTTGTTTGTTTGTTTGTTTTGTTTTTAATCCTCACCCAAGGATATTTTTCCATTTTTTGTTCAGATAGAGTGGGAGGGAGAGAGAGGAAGGGAGAGAGAGAGAAACATCGACGTGAAAGGGACACATCGAGTGGCTGCCACCCGCACGACCAACCAGGGCCGGGGACAAACTGCAACCGAAGTACGTGCCCTTAGCGGGAACCGAACCCGGGTCTCTCCGGACCGCAGGCCGACGCTCTAACCGCTGAGCCAAACTGGCCAGGGCGATCTTTTTCTGGATCTAAAATTCTACAATTATAATCTAGGATGAAAAAGGAACCTGTATTTTAAAATATCAATAAAGGAAAGGAAAAAAGAAAATGGCAATGAACACGCAACCACAGAGTGGTTGGTCTAACGAACACGTTACATCAATATGGGCAACTCAGGGAAGCAAATAATTTTATATACATTCAAAGTCATGTTCTTTAAAGGTCTGAATAACATTTATTTGATGTGGTCAAGAGAAATGTTATTAATGTTTACTCTCTCTGTGTCCACAGTAAAACACTGAATGCACACAGGGAACTTACATCTGACTTCTTTGGAATTGCAGAGTCTCCTGTTTGGTTTTAAATTTCCACTAGAACTGCTCACATCGCGCCCTGGGCAGGCCAGGCCACACTGCGGCACTGAGACAGGAGCCACTGGGAGCCGACACGAGCTGTCCCGTCCCTAAGTACGCCAGCCCCTCTCTGTCTGTGATTAGACTATGCCCCAGCTGGAGGGGTGTCCACCTACCCCACCCCAATCCTACCCCTACCCCTACCCCAATCCTAACCCTACCCCTACCCCTACCCAACCCTACCCCTACCCCAATCCTACCCCTACCCCTACCCCAATCCTACCCCTACCCCAACCCTACCCCTACCCTAACCCTACCCCTACCCCTACCCCAATCCTACCCCTACCCCTAATCCTACCCCAATCCTACCCCTACCCCAATCCTAGCCCGACCCCTGTCCTACCCTAGACCTCTCTCTGCATCCCCCACAACCAGGATGTTCAAGCCCCAGCAGGGGCAGCAGGCTTGACCCTCACTGGCTACTCGCCAACCTCTGACTTTGAGTAGCCAGGTGGCTGAACTGTGATCCGTGCATGTCGTGAATGGGAACCCACCAAGTTAAAATTCGCCTTCTGAGGACAAAGACTTGTCAGCACTGGTGCTATTTCTGAAGACACCTATTGTTTCTGACATGACTGCCTAGCGGCCAGGCTCGGACATGTTCCAGCAGAAGTAGAGCCGACACGGAAGCAGTTTCTGGCGAGCGCCCTGCGCATTTCTCTAACGGTGTCCGGCTTCTTCACGAGCACCGTATGGGGACACAGTCTGGTTTGCTGCGATAATTCAATCTGTGATCCAAAATCTCTCTCCCATCAGAGTGTAAAGGGTCCTGTGTGTTCTCTCACCAACTTAAATGTTACATTCAAACTGTAACAATTTCATTAAAGCATGAATGTGACTCATTGGAACGTTTACTACATCAATATATTTTAGAACCTGAATCACCCTTAAGAAAACAGGTGCAATGTCTGCAGGGAATGGCATTAATCCAGTCCCACTGTGAACCAAAGGGAGAGGCAGACCCCAGAAACGAGGGGCCGGGTCCCCAAGTGAAACCCTCCACACTCGGTCTCATTTCAGCTCCGCCTTGTGAAGAGGCCACGTGTCCCAGCAAACCCGACGTGTGCAACCAGGGAAACGAGCCTTCAACCATCAGCCACGTCCCTTCCCGAGGAGGCCACGCTACCTTGGTGGCAGAGTCCACGGCCGACCCTCTGCCCAGCAGCTCCTGCACCAGCCCCACATGTCCTTCCTTGGCAGCCAGGTGGAGAGCGTTGAGTCCATTCTGGAGGAGAAGAGACAAGGCTTAGACGTGCAGGTGGGGAGGGGACCGCGGGACCCCGAGACCCGCACTGCGGGGAGGGGCGGGGGAGGGTCTCCCGGGCGGCACGTCTTCACATCAGCGTGACGCTGTGTCGTTGGGACTAATTTCCAGTGTTTGGGTCCAGAGAGGCAACAAGATACATAGTCATGAGAAATGTGGGTTTGGCGACACCATGTAAACTTATTTACCCCCTACCCCTTATTTTTAAACTAAAAAATATCTACCTACTTGTAACATTGTAACACTTTGTTTTCGATCAGACTTTAGTCGTCATTTCTCTTGCTGACTTTATGAGGTCTTTGGCCCACTGACTGCTTTTCCGTGGTCATGCAGAACAAGTGAACAAAACCCAGGTGGAACAGATGCCAATAATTATTTTATAGAGCCCTTCAAGCGTGGGTTACATCCCTGGCATGTACAGAGAAGACAAGATGAGGAACATACAGCGGAACATACATGAAGGTCCATTCAACTCCTTTGCATCGGAGTACAAATCCATAATCAATACAAACTTGTCGGCTCACGCTTTTGCTAGTCCCCCCGTATTCAGCTCCAGGTGCGGGGTCCGAAGGGAGACTCACAGCTCACAGGACACACTTTCCGTCCCCAAAGAGCCCCGAACATTTGTTATTAAACAGCTGACAGGCACCTGCTCCTTGGCACATACTTGTCCGTGGTCGTTTTTTCAAACCTCTGGCTAATCTACTCCGCAAATCTTACATATTGAGTTCGGGGTCCCACCGCCTGCCTTATGCATATGAGAAAGTACCCCTAACTTAGAGAACCTCCTTACTTTTACATGTAAGTATTTGGGAGGAGGCGATTGAAAAATAAGCATTCCTAGAGATATCAGGAGAGGCAGAGTGAGCACCCCTCAAACGACAACAAGAGAGAAGAGAGACGTGGCCGCTGACCTCCACCCCGCCCACTTGGAGGTCATTTCAAGAACAACTGCACGTCCGCAGGTAGAGACACAGATAATTATGAGATTCTAGTCACAGTTTCAGTCTTCAACCGGCATCAGCCGCATCGATAAGGAAGCATCCATACGATGGAGAAAAGCAAAGCAACTAAAACAAAGATGAGGGTTCACATTCCCCATCTGGTTTCCGCTTCTGATACCACAGTCCGTCTGCACCCCCCACCTGTCCCACGGTGGCTGCTTAAACAGGCCCCTCTCTGCGACGGGGTCAAGGGTGTGTTTCTCTTCACGGAGACCAGCAAACGCAAGGCAAACAACGGGTCACTTCCATCAGACACCACTGAACGGATTTCACCGCGTCGCTGCTGGTTTCTGATTTAATAACGTAAATCAAACGGTGACCCACGCGCAAACTTGTTTATTAGTGAGTTACCCCCATACGTCCAAGGCCTCCTTTTTAATTCTCAAAGGATAAGTTTTTAGTGAGGTGTTTGCTATGCCTTCACCCATTTGCAAGTATTTACAGTGAGGCTGGGCTGTGGGGCTCACTGATCGCTTCACTGAGAAAAGGCGGAGAACGGGGCGCCCCGGGGGTCTCCCTGCAGGGTCTGCACCCGTCTGTGCGTCCTCCATGGCGGACGCCCGTCGTCTCTGTCCCCCGCCCAGTCCCGGCAAATGCTTCTACCATGTAACCCCCCAAATACAGAGTGACCTTGAATATGATGGAGGGTGAGCCTGGAGAAGAAAGATTATGAAAACTCTTTAGAATCCTACCCCGATCAAGGGGGATGGAGAGGGGATGGGTGCTGAGAAATAAATACTGAGAACTGAAAGAAAGAGAAACTTAATGACATGGCTGTCATTATGGATGTTATATTTCACATATATTACATCACATTATCACCTTTTACAGATGAGGACAAGAAAACTCTCAGAATTCAACTGATTTGCCTCAAAGACCCTCACCATTAAAAAAAGGAAGAGAAAAATTCAAACTTAGATCTCTCTGATGTCCAAACTCATGCTTTTTAAGATCTAATCATTAAGTTCTAATCCAGTGTTTCAAACTATTGGCGATGATGCAGAAGTAGGTCATCAAACCTATTTAATGGATACATGTCAATCAGCATATTTCAGAACATGGTGGAGAATGAAGGAAAAAAGTGTGATCTGTGGGTGGTAGGCACTGACTTTGCTTTTGGTTTATTTGGGGGGCAAATTTTCATACATACACCTGTGCACATGTGTCTCTTATGTCTGTGCATGTGTGCATCTGTATGTGTGTGCGTCTGTGTGTGCACATCTGTGTGTGTGCATCTGTGTGTACATCTGAATGTGTCTGTGTGTGTATCTATGTGTGCGTGCATCTGTATGTGTATCTTGTGTGTGCATCTGTGTGTGCGTCTGTGTGTGCACATCTATGTGTGTGCATCTATGTGTGTGCATCTGTGTGTGTGCATCTGTGTGTGTGCACATCTGTGTGTGTGCATCTAAGTGTGTGCATCTGTGTGTGCGTCTGTGTGTGTGTCTGTGTGTGTGTACATCTATGTGTGCGTGCATCTGTGTGTGTCTGTGTGTGTGCATCTGTGTGTGTGCACATCTGTGTGTGTGTGTGTGTGCTCTGGGTTGCAAAAAAACCTGAGGAAGTTTAGGCAAGACCCAAGATGAGGGAACCTTGGGGAAACCTGATGTCCTTTCAGATCAAACCAGTAGAAGCAATGTTCTCTCAGAGAGGAGGGGATTTTATGCTCTTGAACTTCCTGACCTGAACCCCATTCTAGACGACGGTTCTCATGCAAACAAGAGGAGTGCCAAGGGGCAGAGGCAAGTTCTTTGTTCTTCATTCTTCCTCTTGACATTTCTTAAACCTCCAGGTGTCAGCAGCCTGCACCCCACCCCTTGAGGACTTTACATCCTGGTTCCCTGCCCCTTTCTCCACATATGTGAAGGTGCTTTTCCCAAATCTCAGACCGTCAGGTCCTGCTTCTCCGCAAGATTCTTCCCTTTCCCGCCTCATCTACTCACATCGTGGTTGGACCCGAGACCTAGTCTTGTCTAATAACAACCTCCCTCCAGGGCCGCAGTCTCCAGGATGCTGCCCTTCAACCACCATGTCCTCTCTCGCCAACCTACTGGCCCAGCTCAGCGGTCCCTCAGCCCTCACCCGGCACCTGACCACCTTCCCAGCGCCCGTGCCCCTCCCTCGGCCGATGTTCCCTGCATGAACCCCACCTTCGGCTCCTTCCTCCTGAGCCGGCATCCTCGGGCACTTGCCTTTCTCTGGCTCAGCCAAACCCAAGTCCTGACTACGCAGAGCTCACTCCAGGGGACCCGTGCCCGCACCTGGATGCAGAATGTGCCAGCTGGCCCTGCTCCGTGGCCCACGCCACATGCACCGTGTTTTCTCAGCTGTCACCCACTGATGACTGCCCACACCTCTCCCCGCCTCTCCGTCTTCAGTCTGCGATGATGACCTTGACTCACAGTCCACCGAGGAACAAGCGGCTCTCTGCCTGGCACCCACGCACGGCCTGCTCCTCGTCCACGAGCCCTTCGCTCCCCGAAGCAGCCCGCCCTTAGCAAAGGCCAGCCCCCGCCACGCGGGCCAGCGCCTGTGCTGAAGCTTGGCCAGAACCCCTGTGAAACGCCACTTGTTACCAGGACCATCACTCTCTGTCCAGCCGCCGAGAAGCCCGGGTCCTGGGGAAGCTGGCTGCCCGGGGTCCCGTGCCCGCTGAGCAGACAGAGTGGGAGTCTGGGTTGCAGCTGCAATGCAGCTTCCAAGTGCTCTGTGGTCTGAGTCACAGCTCCGTGCGCGTGTGATAGATCACTGCCGGGGGCCCCTCCTGTTGGTGAAGCTCCGCTATTTTAGAACCGTCATAGTCTGTGGGGAACAGCGCTTCGACCTTGCCTCCGCTGTTGAGGCAGAAAACACGGGTCTCACGGACAATCCTGCATCTTCACAGCCCGGCTGTGGAAGGTCAAGACCAGCAGGCAGGGTGCTCTGAGGACTGTTGGCCGTTAGTGTCACGCCCAGGACACACCCAGGACACGCCCAGGACACGCCCAGTGAGTGAGAAGTCCCGGCAGTGGGACCACTACAGCTCATTAACATTGATCCCGTCGAACCTTAAGAGGCTTTGGTGACATGTAGCCCATTTCTCATGAGAAGGTTATAGAGCCAATATTTAATGTAAACTCGTTTATGACATATTAAATCATGAACAATGACTAAATAAATAAGAGAAGCATAAGTATATATGAGTATATATAGGGAGCAAATGCTAAAATGTATTCTCTTCTCTGAATGTATAAGATAATAAGATAAATCATGTACTAGTTTAATTTGTGTGTGTGTGTGTATATGCCCCTAGCGGGAACCAAACCCGGGGCTCTCTGGTCCGTAGGGCGATGCTCCAACTGCTGAGCCAAACCGGCCAGGGCTCTAGTTTAATCTTTTAAAGAAAAGACAATTTAACAGATTTGTAACCACCTGGAAAACAAAAAATAAAACTGACGCTTGTCTGTGAACCAGTTGTCTTGTGCCAGATGTATTAACGTTCCCCATGTCCTGTACGTGGCTGGGCACCAAATGGTATTTTTGGATTTAGTTTTAAAACTCTCATAGTAGTTATGAGAAAATTTTATAAAGAAAAAGTTTTCATCCAAATTCCACTTTGAGGAATCCGGGCACAGCAACGCAGCGGTATTTGGGGCGCTGGGGCGCCCAGCTTCACCTTCGTTGAGAAACACCGCCGAGCGCAGGGTGCGGTTCCCATGGTCCCTGTCGTCACGCTCCCCAGAAACTCAGGCTCACAAACAAAACACAGGATTTTTCTGTTCTTCACAGGCTGTGTCAGCTCTGAGCTTTGCCAAAGTTAAAAACAGCGATCGCTGGGCTGCAGAGCTGCCTCTTGTGCCCCCCGGGGTGGCTGGGATTACTGACTCCAGGTCTAGCAGCAATCCGAGAGGTGCTCTTTGACCTAGGAGTTCCCGGAACGGCCCAGGGTGGGAACCTCAGGACCAATCCAGTTCCCTTCGATTAGCAGTGGGAGATTAAGGGTAAGATTTGAGCTTGGAAGTAAAGGTGCCACCACTGTACCTTCTGAAGGGCAGGTCCTAACATCGCAGGAAGGTGTCCTGCAGGAGGAAGGCCTCGCGCGGGGGAGGCAGACAGAACCGGTGACCCGGGGACACCGCTCAGCCGCGCGCGGGCTCAGGGTCTGCGTTAGCGAGCGAGCGGCGGGCTTCCGGCCTCCCCCCACCGCCCTCGGCTGAACCGTCCCCGGAGGCCCTTGCGCAAAGCTGACACACAGGAGCTAATCCGCTAACGCCGGTCACTCTGTTCCCTGGTCCTTGCTCCACAGACGTTCTCGCACAGCGACAGCAAAGAACCAGCACCTGACAGATCCATGTGCACCTCGTGAACCCAGGTGTCGGCGGGGAGTCAAGCTTATATTTTGTGTGAAGCTCCATTTTAATTTTTTTTTATTCTGGGTGAATTATATACAGTAACTACCATTAGAGCACGTAGTCCCTAGAAAGCCGTGTCGTATGTTAGCATCTCACTTACACTGCAACCCTGGGACGTAGGATCGAGCACATTATCATCACCTTGTGCTCGAGGCTGGAATGTCGCCTTCTGAACCGAAATGACCTGATGGAGGTGGAGGAGGAAACACCTGAGCCTTTGGTCTCGCGGTTTCCTGCACCAAGGCCCCTCCCGCGGCAGACGCGCCGTGACACGGGAGTGGGCAGTGGGCGCCACGGGAGGATGTGTGCGGCCGTCACAGCTTCTGGGGGGCTCAGAAGTTGTTGGTCACGATGCACATGGAGTCTTTGCTGCTGAGGAATCCTGTTTCCTAAAAACGCCCCACGATCTTTCGTACAGTTAAATATTTTTGTTATCCTTGGGGGTGAAGTGGACTTGGTTTGACTGAGGTGAACTTTATTCTCTCTGGATTCCCTTCGGCATTTGTACGACAATTTCTACCTAAACAAACTGGTAGTTTCATCGCCTGTTCATTCTGGCAAATTTAGAAAGTTAATGCATCGATATTAAAGTTTAGGGGCTGTATTTAATATACTTCAAAATATGTAAGGTAACATGTCTAGTTGTAAACTGCTTCCTATCCAGTCTCATGGGCAGTTTTGGAAGTAGTTCGTACATCCAGATGGAAATCTGGACATTTGTTCTCTACTAAAGCGACTAATTACTCAAGTTCAAGCTGTTTGTTCCAGAGAACACTGAAAACCTATCAGATAAGATCCATAATGGAAAATCAGATGGATAAGAAATGCAGACAGAATACAAAGATCTTATGTTCTGGGACAAAGGAATGTGGCCTTTCGCAGGTCAGTGTGTAAGATCCGGGTTTCGTCTTACCTACAAGGTAAGGGCAGGACTCCTACAGTTTTGTGAGGCTGGGAGAGACAAGGCTCCAGGCTCAGAGACAAAGGACTTGATAATTCACAGCTAAAGCAGCAACTGAGGCCGAGTGTCCACGAGTTGCTTTCAGCAGCTCCGTGTCCCCTCCGACCCCGTGGGAGCGACACACAGGACCAGTCATAGGGTCTGCGGATGCCGGGGGTTACGTCAGAGAAGATCGCCTCCTGTTGACTTAGAATTAGCCAGGACTGTCCCTTCCCAGTCAGCTCCGCCAAGCACACACGTGTGTGCATACACTCACACACACGCATGCACACGCCCACACATATGCATGTACACACACAGGCACACACCCACATACACGTGCATGCACACAATGAATGCACATACCAACTCTTAGCGTGCTCCACGGAGTACTGGAGCACACTACACCTTTAAATTCATGGCATAAAAATCTCAGTCTAAAATAGTATAAAACTCTCAACATCCCTGAGACCAAATAATGTCCAAAATGGGTACTTTAGTCGAAAGCCCTCAGCGAGTGGATGTGCTGAATAAAAATTCCTAACACTTCATTTCAGCAGTGGTTCCACCTCTCCGCACTTTAACCCATATTTCAGGACAAATCGGGGGAAGGGGAGGTTTTCCTGGTCCCTCTCCTGCATCGCTCCCGCTACGGCCGCCGGCTGCCATGAGTGACAGCCCGCAGGGGAGAGAGCGGCCCGGCTCTGGGGAACATCCTCCTCGGTCAGCCCAGCCCTGCGCCCAGCTCGTGTCCCAGACAGACTGCCGTCGGCTGCTACGCCTGACCTCCGAGGTGCCCAGCACCCTCAGCTCTAGACAGATGCCGGAGGCTCAGAAGGCGTCAAGGGGAGAAAAGGGACCTTCACAGTCTGCGTCACTGACAGTGACAGTGAGTCCGGTAAAGACACAAAACAGCCTCAGGCTGGCGGCTGCCTCTCCAGATGGGGGGGGGGGTGCGCAGCAGGCACCGCACTCCTACCTGGTTGCAGGTGTTGATGTCGACGCCGCCCTTCAGGTACTCCACGACCTTGTCCAGGTTGCCGGCTCTCGCCGCGCGCAGGAAGCTGGCATTGCTGTCGGACTGTGAGAGAAGGAGACCCTTCGTGAGTCGCAGACACGACACAAACAGCAAAGACACATGGCCAGTCCCGGAGGCCTCGCTGGGACCCTCGGGGGAGCGGGGAGTCCCCGAGCGCGGCCGAGACGGGGCCCCGGAAGGAAAATAACGGCCGCTTTTCCAGACGGTGTACCCCCAAACGCTCTGCCACTGCACCCCCAAACGCTCTGCCACTGCTCACGCCCGCTCAGGCTGACCGGGACTTGACGCTGAGCCTGCGCTCGGGCCAAAGGAACCGGAGCCACTGGGCTTCTGCCTCGCTGTCTGGTTTGCAGCCCAGCCTGGTGTGGCCCAGGCTCATCCGTGCTCGTCTGCAGGGGGCAGAAGGCTCGGGGGTCAGGAGCGAGGGCAGCGCTCAGAGGTGCGGCCGGGGCCACGCAGACAGTGACCCCAGGGACTGAGAACACGAGAGTCCGTGCAAACAGCTGCCCAAGACCCGACTGGGCTCGGTAAAGACACTCACCCTTCAGGGCGGCTGCTCACTGGGTCCTCGTCTTCCTCACGCTCCCGAAATCTGATCCGAGGGGAACCCACCGAACTTCCCCCCAAAAGGTCCCGAGGGGAGCCGCTCCGGAGCCCCGGCTTCAGCCCCCGCCACTCTGGCTCTCAACCCTGAACCCGCAGCGAGGACGAGGTCAGACCCGGCCAGGACCTGGGATACTCGTGTGGCTTTGTGGTTCCCACACCCGCTGCCCAAGTATGACGGAGCCAGCAACTCGGACGGGACGTCACTGACCTGCGCAGGGGACGGCCACAGGGCGACGCAGCTGTGAGGGCCCGACCCCCGCGTCCCTCCCTCGAGGACTGGGCGGGGCACTGGGCTCCCTGGCTCAGGCCTCCTGTGACCGGTGACGTGGGGGGGAGATGGGGGTGTCTTCTCTGGGCGTCTCCCGAGGAGCCATGTCACATGACTCACACGTGGGGAGACCACACAGCCAGGACTGAATGTCCTCACGTCACCCAGACGCCAGGCTGGCTCCCGCATCCGTCTCGGGGGTGCCCTGCGGGGGTGAAGGCTGCAGGTCGTGTCTGCGGTCGGCCAGCCCTGGGCGCGGCCCGCGGTGTGGCCAGGGCTCTGCGTCCTCCTCGCCCTCTGGCTGACCCCCGGGGCTCTGCACACGCCTCCCCCGCAGTGACCGAGCCGCCATGACTCTGTGGTTCGTGGCAAATCGAAATTTCCGGAGGATCCTGCCCCCCCCCCCCCCGTTTCGGGCCCAGCACTTAACCGTTCACCCTGGAACAACAGACACCAAACGACACGAGTCACAGAAACATGACATTGTTCCCAGGTACCGTTTTTAAAAATAAAACCGTGTGCTACCCATGACCGTCTACTCACGGAGGTGTGCCGGGAGCTAACACGACGTCGCACGGCAGCTATGATGTAGGGAACGAACGTCTCACCCACGTGAAAGGAGACTGTGCCTGGGGGTACACCGTGCGGGGCGGGAGGCCTCATGAGGACAGGAAACCTGACCGCGGGGGGCAGGGGCTGAGGGCGCCCCACGAGCCGCGTCGTTCTCCCTCCTGGGGACCCACGGGGACTGTCAGCACCCCACGACTGTTTCGTCGGCGAGAAGGAGGCAGCGTCCAGGTCACACCGCGACTCGGCGGGGGACCCCACGGTCCAGCTCCTGTTTTGGGTTCAGAGCATCGACGCCGAGCCGCCCTGTGGGCTGCGTGACCGCAGTGGTGCCCTCGGTCCACGTGTCACCCCGGATCCCAGCACGTGTGCTCAGACGGCCTCGGCGGAGGGTGCTCTCAGCTGCCCGGTCCCCGCCCCACAGCCGCCGCGCCCCGGCAAAGGCTCCAGCCCCTGGGGAGTGAGAGGTGGTGCCCCTCTGAAAGGGGGGAGCACCCACCTCGCTGAAAGGCGGTGCCCCTGTCGCGTGTGAGCCTGTGTCAGAGCGAACTCGGGAATGGAGGCCAGGCTGCCCCTTCACGGACACGCCGGGGGAGTCGCCCGGAGACCCCACTGTGGAGGCTGAGAGGCAGGTGGGGCTGAGGGTGCCGGCACCCCAGGAGCACCCTGTGGCCCTCCGAGAGCCTCCTCCAGGACCGGGCATGCCGTCCAGGGCCGCTTTGGCTGCTACGTGATAACAGTTTTCATAACTGCTTTTCTCTGTTCTGAACAAAATTTCTAAAAAGTAGAAGCAGGTGTAAGACGTAGAGCCAGCCCGGGAATCCAGCAAGAAGGGTCCGGGGGGCTGGGCCCCTGCCCGACCGCACCCCCGGCTGTCACAGCAGCCTGGCTGGACGCTGGGCTCCCCAGAAACCCGCAGGGACGGGGCTCCCCAGACACAGGCCCCCGCCGCCCACAACGAGGTCAATCTGTGATTACAGCTGTCCGCCCGGAGCTTAGGATAAACCTCATCAGGCCGCTGGCCCCGGACGACAGGGAGACCAAAGAGGATTTGGGGGCTGTGGCTACAGACACGGGGCCCTCCGCGGGCTGCTCCCGCTGGGGCGCAGCTGGAAGCTGGAAGTTGGGGTGCATGGGGATGGCTTTCCCGGCAGGTGCTCTGGGAGCACAAGAGGAGGAAGAGGGGCGACTGCAGCTCCAGGGAACGTCTCTGACCGACGCCAGACGGGCCCCTCCCTGCCCCGCTGCCCACGCCCCCGACCAGCCGTCCACCCCGTGCAGTCTGGTGTGAGGAGTTCGGGCTGAGCCCACTGACCCTCCACACCTCGAGGAAGGACAACGTCCTCTTCGATTCCTCTCCACCCAGCTCTGTGCTTCTGGTCCGAGGGGTAGAAAGAGCTTGTTCTCAACCCCAGCAGGGGGGACACGGGCCGGGGGGACACAGTTCAGAGAGCCACATTCTCCCCAAGGAAGGGGCCCCAGAGGGCCCGGGACATATCCACAGGGTCCAAAACTCCTGGCTACAAAACTTTCTTAAAGTCCAAGCTTCTTGCCGGCCCGGGGACAGGCTGGGGTGCTTAGGGAGCCGGTTCAGCAGCTGGGTTTCTCGTCAACGGTAAGCGCAGGGCAGCGGCAAATCCACGCACACGCTCCTTCAAGTGTGCCGGTGTTGCCAGCAGTCCCGCCCCCGAGCACTGCGGGAGGACAGGTGTGCGCCGTCTGTGGCGGGGACGCTGCAAAGCACCCTCCTCGTGGCTCACGAATGTGAGCGTGTCTACGAGGCACCGTCACGGCTGACGAGGCCGCAGCTGGACGGGCTCCTTCCCCACCCATGACGTCTTCTTACAGACGCAGCTGTTACCCGGCACTCATGATGTGACGTGGTCACCACAGAGCTGGCCTGACCTCAACCGTCCCCTCCGGCTGCAGGTTCGAGGAAGAGAACTAATGACGAGTGTTTTGACTCTTATTACGCTTCACGGTAAACAGCCGTCCGAAGCCCACTGAGGGCCAGTCCGTTCCCCGTCCTCTGTGTGTGATCCATGCATGTTCCCGGGTTTGGGTGACTCCTTATTAAAACTCTGACTATACGTCTGGCAGCCGCGTTGGTGGGGTTCCACCTGCCGCCTCTACACGCCCCTCCCCCCCACCGCGGGCCCCACGACACGTCCCTCTACATGGGGGCCGCCTGGGCACCCGGCCAGGCTGTGAGCCCTGAAGACAGACGGCACTTTGTCCCCGTGAGCCCTGCACACCTGCTGCTGCGACATTGTGGCCGACACCTTACGTCCTCCCTCGGTCCCCAAAAGCACCCACGTGAGGAAGCTGGGGCTCAGTGAGACTGAACCGCTTGTCCGTGGACTTTCGGTCGTCGATGCCAGGGCGGAGGCCGGCACCAGAGGCCATCGCCCTCGGGCATCGCCAGCCCCTTGGCGCCCAGGGACCACGTCCCCCCTCAGCTGCCCCGGCCACGGAAGGTGTCCGGGCTCCACGCAGGAAGAGCTCCGGAGACGACCTCTCCTCGGCCTCCAGAGCAGCGAGCAGACTCCTGCCTGCTCCCCGGAGCCCAGGACAGAGGGACCTCGCTCTGCTCACGAATCCCCACACCTGCTCCTTAAACACCGGTCACACCTGTAACTCTCACGTTCTCAGTACAGATTAAGTAGTAAAAATACACCCACAAGAATCCCTTCCGCCAAATTAACTGAAAAGCGAGACGAGTGTAGAATATTAAGTAAAGTAGTAATTTATGAAACCGAAAAAAAAAAAAAACAGACACACACAGGAGTGGGCAGAAGTAGGCTCACAGCTGTGCGGACGCAAAGGCCTGTTCTTGTCTTATTACTTAGTAGCCGCACCCTCTTCCGCATGCACACGGTGACCCTGACACAACAGAATCGCCGCCACAATCCCACTACGCAAACGTAACTTGGCATATTTCGATGCATTTTCTTCTAGAATGTTCCTGCACGTTCAGGGCGTGTGCGTAAATAGCGTCTTTACAAAGTGGAGGAATAAGACTCTGTCTCCCATGCCACGTGCAGCATCGCCAAGTATCCCCACCGCCCAGGAGCCTTGAAAGCTATCCGACCCCACGTAGCCGTGCGCGGAGCGATGGCAGCTGTTTCCAGCGTCTCGAACCCTGCGCACAGCCGTGCCTTCGCATGCCGTCGTCGGCACAGCCAGGCTGAGTGGCGCTGTGCGTGGGTGCTCGCCCGTCCCGTCGGCGGGAAGCCCTGCCCAGCATGGGGACCGCTGGCACCATGGCCTGGGGCGCAAGGCTGTCTGTCCGTGGAGGTGCCAGCCCCAGCCCGGGGCTCACAGACCTGCCTTCGCTCGGGTGGGTGGAGCACTGTGGGTTTATTGTTGTTGTGTGTTTTTTATTGATTTTAGAGATGGAGGAAGGGGGAGGAGAGAGATAGAAACATGGATGAGAGAGAACAGCGACTGGCCGCCTCCTGCACGCCCCCCACTGGGGATCAGCCCACAACCTGGGCATGTGCCCTGACCGGAATCGAACCGGGGACCTCTTGGTGCAGGGTCGACGCTCAACCACTGAGCCACACCGGCCGGGCTCAACCCATTTTTAACTCGTTCTAAT